AGAGGAGGAGGGGCATGTGCTGGCCGGCCTCGAAGAGCAGCCCGTTGCGCGCGGCGCCTGAGACAGAAAGACGCGCCCCGCGTCTGTCTCGTTTCGGGGCGTGTTTCTTTTCAAGCCCCGTGGCGCGCGGCGCCGGAGGGGCGGACTCGGTCTCGCATCCCTCCTAGTCCGCCAACCAAATGGCGACTCAGCTAACGGGTCCGGTTATGAGGAGGAGCTGACGCGGCCTCGCATCCCACCCGTCGCCGCGCAGACAAGAGGAGTGCCCGCCGCGAGAAACTCCTCCCCCACCTAACAGAAGGGGGGGGGGGGGGTACGGGGAGATGTGGGGGAGATTGAGCTCCTCTCCCACACCCTCAAGACTAGCAGTGCCGGCCGCGGCCAATCCGCCGGCACACCTCGGCTCCCACCTCCCCATCCCTCCCCGTCTCTCCCCAGCCCTGAAGGCTCGTATAGCTCCCCACATCTCCCCACATCTCCCCACATCTCCCCACATCTCCCCACATCTCCCCACATCTCCCCGCATCTCCCCGCATCTCCCCACATCTCCCCGTATCTCCCCCACCAGCCCCGACGGCTCGCAGAGGGAAGGCATGACGCCAAAGTCGGCGGCGGCGGAGACAAACGCGCCTATTCGATAATAATTAATAATTAAAGGAGACAAACCCGCCTATTCATTTAATTAATAATTAATAATTAATAATTAATAATTAAAGGAGACAAACCCGCCTAGTCGATCAAGTTGGGCTACGCCTCTTCTCTCCCCACATCTCTCCCCATCTCTCCTCATCTCTCCCCATCTCTCCCCACCTCTCCCCATCCCTCCCCACCTCTCCCCACCCCTCCCCACCTCTCCCCACCTCTCCCCATCCCTCCCCCACCTCTCCCCACCCCTCCCCACCCCTCTCCCCCATCTCTCCCAATCTCTCCATAGGACACGCCGAGCTCAAAGTACGAGCTCGGGTCGGACGCCCAAAAGTTGGCCGGGAAGCTCGCCTGAAAACAAGACACCCGCTGCCGCCAGAACCGCCTCCGCCACACCGGAAAGACCGGGCCCCGACGCTCGCCCGCAGCTGCGCCATCTGCGCCGCACAGCGGCGGGCGTATGGGCTGGCCTGCTCATAGACGTGCGGATTCAGTGTCTCCGAGACCTCGCGAGCGGGCGGTTCTTCACAGCTGTGGGCAGTGTGGTTTTGGCCGGGGTGGGCAGTGTGGGTTTCACACCCGGGGCAGGTAGGGGATCGGGCAGGCCAGTTGTGCGGCAGTGTGCGGGCAGGGCAGTATCATACACACACTCAGCCCTCGAGCAGGAGGAGTGGTGAGTAGCGGCGGCGGCGGTAGCGCACCGGGTCAGCGCACCCACAAACCAGCACGTGCGCCCTGCCCGCCGTCGCTCGGACCAGAGGCCCGACGCAGTCGAGAAGGAGGTGGACGCCCTTTTGCGGCGCAAGGCGGCCAAGGAAGACGAACATCGGCGGGTCCTCGCCTCCTCCTGCTCCTCCGCCTCCACCTCCACCTCCGCCTCCACCGCCGCCGCCGCCGCCGCCGCCGCCGCTTCGGCGCCCGTGCGCCGCCGGCCACGCGGCCTGCAGCGAGGCACGCCAGTTAATTAGGCGAATTACCTAACTGCCAATTGATTCATTCGCTGCTAACTAATTAACTAGCTGCCTGCAGCGTGGCACGCCAGCCGTCGCCAAAGCACTGCCGGCGCAGCGACGCCTTGGCGGCGGCGTGGGCGAGAGATCGCCGAGAGATCGCCGAGAGATCGCCGAGAGATCGCCGAGAGATCGCCGAGAGATCGCCGAGAGATCGCCGAGAGATCGCCGAGAGATCGCCGAGAGATCGCCGAGAGATCGCCGAGAGATCGCCGAGAGATCGCCGAGAGATCGCCGAGAGATCGCCCAGAGATCGCCGAGAGATCGCCGAGAGATCGCCCACAGATCGCCTAGAGATCGC